AAAAAAAAAAGAAAGACCTTCTCTAATGTGTCTAATCTAGCCTCTGCCTGCACTTCCAGCCCCATCTGTGCTCTCCTTACCCTCAGCTCTCAGAACTCCTGGAAGCCCTGCATATCTGCAGGCAGCACCATGCTCCTGAGCAGTCACTCACACTCTGCCTCTGCCTGTCCAGCCCTACTGTCTTTCCAGCCAACTCTGATTTACCTCCTAACACTCAGTTCAAGCAGTAGCTTCTCCAAGGACGGTTCCTGACCCTATCCCAGGAAGGACTGGCCACTCCCATCGTGGCCCCCTGCTAAGTGCATCATGTCTGCAATTCCCATCCACATACAAGTTCCATTTAAAACACAAAACTTACCTCCATTACCTGACTGAATCATTCAACAGCAGAAACTGTATTTTATTTGTCACTACTCTTATTTTTATTTTTTTGAGATAGGGTCTCACAGCGTCACTGAGGCTGGAACGCAGTGCCATGATCTGGACTCACCACAACATTTGCCTCCCAGGCTCAAATGATCCTTCCACCTCAGCCTCCCAAGTAGCTGGGACTACAGGCATGCACTATCATTCCAGGCTAATTTTTGTATTTTTTGTAGAGACAAGGTTTCACCCTGCTGCTCAGGCTGGTCTCTAACTCCTGGGCTCAAGTGATCCACCCGCCTCAGCCACCCAAAGTGTAGATTGTAGGCGTGAGCCACCATGCCTGGCCATCCCTACTCTTTATATGAAGTAGGTGTTTAATATATGTTTATTGGATGAATGAAAGATTGAACGGGTAGCCAAAAGAATTCCTCCCTCATTGGTGTTCCCAGAGCTCCAGAGAGAGGCGTACTCTCCAAAACTTATGAATTATTCCCACCTCCAAGAACCCTCTTTGCTTTTTCTCTTTTCCCAATCCTACCCACCTCTTGAGACCCACTTCCTCTAGGAATTCTTCCCTGACTATTCCAACCCACCCTGAACGCCTCCATCCCTGAATTCCTTGTGCTCACTGCTATGCAGGATCCCTGCACACATTCTGGCTGGCCTCGTTCCCTGTTATCAGGCCTTATCTTGTTGTTGTGCCCTACAGAGCAGCAAGCACAAGGGACCTGCTCAGATAGACTCACACACTGGTCAACTTGTCCAGGAACAGAAAGGCTTGAGAGGAGGGAGGCTCCAGGGGAAGCTCTGCCAGATTTTACTCAGAGCCCAGAGTTCCAAATTCCCCTACTGCTGGCTCCTCCTAACTGTAGCTAGGAAGGATGTCAGATGAAATTGGGGAAACAGAGATACTAGGCAGGAAAGAAATCCACCTGTTCTCACTCAAGGTCAAGGCCTGAATTAGGTAGGTCAGAGAGAGGTGTGCCCGGTCAGCGTTCCTGAGCAAGCTGTCAGTAGAAGAGAAAGAAAGAAAACACAAGCCTCCTCCATTCCTCACCCATACCTCGCTTCAGGCAGCTCCTCCATTCTCCCTCCTTGCCTCTTCTTTCTCTGCCCTTTGGAGCCAGACAGACCTGGGTTCAAATCCTGGCTCTGCCACTTGCTAGTTGTGTGACTGTGGGTCCAATTACTTAACTCCTCTGGGCCTGCTTTCCCATCTGTGAAGTGGAGATTTTTAACATAGAATGACAAAGACATAGTGACAGTGAGAGATAACATAAACCTCTGCCCAAAACTCATAGAGGCAGAAAGTAGAACAGAGGTTCCCAGGCGCTAGGGGAGGGGGATTGGGGAGTTATTGTTTAATGGGTGCAGAGTTTATCTGGGATGATGAGAAAGTTCTGGGCATGGAGGTGATAACAGCTGAGCCACACTGTGGAGATACTTAATGCCAATGAAGTGTACACCTCAAAATGGCGAGAACGGTACATTTTGTTTTTTTGAGACAGAGTCTTGCTCTGTTACCCAGGCTGGAGTGCAGTGGTGCGATCTTGGCTCACTGTAACCTCCACCTCCTGGATTCAAGCAATTCTCCTGCATCAACCTCCCAAGTAACTGGGACTACAGGTGCCCACCACCAAGTCTGGCTAATTTGTGTATTTTTATTAGAGATAGGGTTTCCCCATGTTGGCCAGGCTGATCTCAATCTCCTGACCTCAGGTGATCGATCCGCCCACCTCGGCCACCCAAAGTGCTAGAATTACAGGCTTGAGCCACCATACCCAGCCAGAATGGTAAATTTTATATGTATATTTTACCACAAAACATTTATATAACCAGTCAGGCACAGTGCCTTACGACTGTAATCCCAGCACTTGGGGAGGCTGAGGGAGTCAGACAACTTGAAGTCAGGAGTTCCAGACTAGCCTGCCCAACATGGTGAAAACCTGCCTCTACTAAAAATACAAAAATTAGCCAGGCGTGGTGGTGCACGCTTGTAGTCCCAGCTACCTGGGAGGCTGAGGCACGAGAATCACTGGAATCAGGGAGGTGGAGTTTGCAGTGGGCCGAGATTGTGCCACTGCACTCCAACCTGGGTGACAGAGTGACTCTCAAAAACAAAACGGCCAGGCGCGGTGGCTCATGCCTGTAATCCCAGCACTTTGGGAGGCTGAGGTGGGTGGATCACTTGAGGTCAGGAGTTCAAGACCAGCCTGGGCAACATGGTGAAACCCTGCCTCTACTAAAAATATAAAAAATAGTTGCGTGTGCTGGTGGGTGCCTGTAACCCCAGCTACTCAGGAGGCTAAAGCATCAGAATCACTTGAACCCAGGTGGCAGGCCGGGCACGGTGGCTCACACTTGTAATCCCAGCACTTTGGGAGGCCGAGGTGGGCAGATCACAAGGTCAAGAGATCGAGACCATCCTGGCCAACATGGTGAAACCCCGTCTCTACTAAAAATACAAAAATTGGCCAGGCTTGGTGGCATGTGCCTGTAGTTCCAGCTACTCAGGAGGCTGAGGCGGAAGAGTCGCTTGAACCCAGGAGGCGGAGGTTGCAGTGAGCTGAGATTGCGCCACTGCACTCCAGCCTGGCGACAGAGCGAGACTCTGTCTCAACACAAAACAAAACAAAACAGAACCCAGGAGGCGGAAGTTGCAGTGAGCTGAGATCACATCGCTGTGCTCCAGCCCAGGCTACAGAGCGAGACTCTGTCTCAAAACAAACAAAAAAACCAAACAACAAAACAAAAACAAAAAAACGTCTATAACCAAATGGTGGGGGTGAGCGGGACTTCCTCAGTGCCTGGCACCTGGTGAGTGCTCAGTGATAAATAGAAGCTATTATTACTGCTATTGGCAGTTCCTCTCATGCTGCCCCAAAACCCTTCTCTTCACTCTTCAGGAAGAAAATACCAGAAACTCCCAGTCTGAGTATTTAAGCTCCTCACCACCACCACTAAGGAAGTAGATGCTCCTGCAGGACTGGCATTTTATGTATGCCTCCTTGGTCAGGCAGCAGGCACTTGGGAGATGGAGACCTCTGAGCATTTTCTTTCCTTTTTTTTTTTTGAGATAAGGTCTTACTCTATTGCCCAGGCTGGAGTGCAGTGGTGTAATCACAGCTCACCACAGCCTCAACCTCTCTGAACTCAGGTGATCCTCCTACCTCAGCCTCCCAAGTAGCTGGGACCACAGGTGTGCGCCACCATACCCAGCTAATTTGTTGTTTTTTTTTTTTTTTTTTTCAATGAAGAAGGGTTTTTGCCATGCTGCCCAGGCTGGTCTGGAGTCCTGGGATCAAGCAATCCACTTGCCTCAGCCTCCCAAAGTGCTGGGATTACAGGTGTGAGCCACCAAGCCTGGCCTTCTTTTCTTGCCAAGCAAAGACATCCTGGAGTGGGCAGCAAAAGGGAACTACCTGCCCCCCATTGTTCAATATTTATTAATCATCTGGTGAGCTCCCTGCTCATCCTTGTCAGTCCTTGGTCCCCCATAGACCCTGAAACTCACCTCCTGTCTCCCTGGCCTGCCTCTCCACAGAGCAAAGGCTGGGGCTCCTTCTCAAATCTAGGAAACCAGAACTGAGCCCCTGCTTCTCTTGACTTGAGCCCTGGTGGGAGAAGGGTGGAAAAGAAATAAATCAACAAGGCATAGAAAAGCGAGGGGGAAATGCCAATTTGCCCAAGAAGAGAGTGGGGATTGAGGAACTTACTTTTTTTTTTTTTTTTTAATAGAGACAGGGTTTCACCACGTTGCCGGGCTGGTCTCGAACTCCTGACCTCAGGTGATCCGCCTGCCTCAGCCTCCCAAAGTGCTGGGATTACAGGCGTGAGCCACCATGCCCAGCGAGGAACTTACTTTCTATCTCCCTTGAAGCTAGACGGGAAGAAGTCTCTAAAATAACAATAGGAGTCAAGGAGTTAGAAGTTTCTGGCTGCCAGAACTTTAAGGCAATGGAAGAGAACTGCGTGGTAGCTCATGCCTACAATCCCAGCACTTTGGAAGGCCAAGGTGCTTTCAGGCAACGGAAGAAGGACAAAACTGGAGGCAGAGCAAGTCTCCCAGGAGAACTTTGAAAACGGGACAGAGATCTATCTTTTTAGGCCAAGGTTTCTCAACTTCAGCTTTAACCTCCGCATATTGACATTTGGACTAGATAATTCTACAGTGTAGGGAACTGCCCTGGGCACTGTAGGGGGTTTAGCAGCATTCCTGGCTTCTACTCAGTAGACGCTAGTAGCACCCCTGCTCCTGGTCATGACAACCCAAAACGCCTTTATTGCAAATGTTTCTGATGGACAAAACTCCCCCCACCCTTATTTGAGAACCACTGATCTAGGCTAAACACAGTGTATTCTGCTTGGAGGAAGGGGAGGAGAGAGTTGACCTTTATATTCTAGGATGTAAAATGTAACACTGAGCCAGGCGTGGTGGCTTGCACCTGGAATCCCAGAACTTTGGAAGGCCAAGGTGGGCGGATCGCTTGAGGCCAGGAGCTTGAGACAAACCTGACCAATATGGTGAAGCCCCATCTCTACTAAAAATACAAAAATTAGCCGGGTGTGGTTGTGGTGGCGGGCACCTGTAGTCCCAGCTACTCAGGTGGCTGAGGCAGGAGAATCACTTGAACCTGGGAGACAGAGGTTGCAGTGAGCTGAGATGGCACCGCTGCACTCCAGCCTGCTTGACAGAGTGAGACTCCATTTCCAAAAAAAATAAATAAAACGTATGCAGCCATAAAAAAGGAATGAGTTTATGTCCTTTGCAGGAACATGGATGAAGCTGGAAGTCATCATTCTTAGCAAACTAACACGGGAACAGAAACCCAAACACCACATGTTCTCGCTCGTAAGTGGGAGTTGAACAATGAGAACACATGGACACATGGAGAGGAACATCACGCAGTGGGGCCTGTCAGGGGGTCGGGGGAAAGTGGAGGGAGAACATTAGGGCAAATACCTAATGCATGTGGGGCTTGAAACCTAGATGACAGGCTGATAGGCACAGTAAAGCACCATGGCACATGTACACTGTGTAACAAACCTGCACGTTCTGCATATGTATCCCAGAACTTAAAGTAAAATTAAAAAAAAATAAAAATAAAACTCCACAAGGGGTAAACAAGATGCTGTGACTGGCTAGAAGTTAGGGAGAATAACATAGGCCCCATATCCTAGGAAATCGTGAAGCTCCAATCAGCTGTGCAAAGTCACACAGCAAGGACCTTGCAGAGTCAGGAGTGGTGAATCCCCAGGTCCTCAGCCATGACAAGCCCTGTCATGCAAATCAGCTCCACTGTGGATGGATTCCGATCCTCCTCTAACTCAGATCTTCTGGGGCTGGGGTAGGTTGCTGAGCAAGCATTCTCTGGGCCTTCCTAGGAGCCACATGGAAAATAGAAGCCTTCAAGAAGAGCCAAGGACTGGAAGGAAGTTTCCAAGCTCCAAACCTTTGTTTGTTTGTTTGTTTTTGAAACGGAGTCTCATTCTGTCGCCCAGGCTGGAGTGCAGTGGTGCAATCTCAGCTCACTGCAACCTCCACTTCCTGGGTTCAAGCGATTCTCCTGCCTCAGCCTCCCAAGTAGCTAGGACTACAGGTGTGTGCCACCATACCCAGCTAATTTTTTTTTTTTGAGATGGAATCTTGCTCTGCAGCCCAGGCTGGAGTGCAGTAGCATGATCTTGGCTCACCACAACCTCTGCCTCCCAGGTTCAAGAGATTCTATTGCCTCAGACTCCCAATTAGCTGGGATTACAGGTGCATGCCACCATGCCCGGCTAATTTTTGCATTTTTAGTAGAGACCGGATTTCATTATGTTGGCCAGGCTGGTCTCAAACTCCTGACCTGTGATCTGCCTGCCTTGGCCTCTCAAAGTGCTGGGATTACAGGCGTTAGCCACTGTGCCCAGCTAATTTTTTTATTTTTAGTAGAGATGAGGTTTCACCATGTTGGCCAGGCTGATTTTGAACTCCTCAGGTCATCCACCCACCATGGCCTCTCAAAGTGCTGGGATTATAGGCATGAGCCACTGTGCTTGGCCTCCCAGCTTGAAATCTTAAAGTATCCCTGCCCTCCTCAGGCCCTAGGACACTGGGCCGGAGAATGGCACTGATGGTGCCATTAAGCTCCATTAACAAATGCCCATTGAGCTCCCCTAGTCCCAAATCAATATGATAGATTTTTACTTTTGCCTCAGGCTCCAGTGTGCCCTGGCACAATACTGTTACTGATTCTGTCTTTACTGAAAATATCATTTTGTTCAATATGGATTTTTTTGCATTAATCTGATTGCTAAAAATATGGCATTGCTAAAAATACAGGCACACAGTGGGATGTGCCTATAGTCTCAGCTACTCGGGAGGCTGAGGTGGGAGGATTGTATGAGCCTAGGAATTTGAAACCAGCCTGGGCAACATAGCAAGGCCCCATCCCTAAAAAAATTTTTTTAATATGGCACTAAAATATTATTTATTTTGATTACTGAATTTTTTGCATCCCCTTAAGTTCTATGACTGGGGTGAGTGCCTCCCCTCATCCTAGTCCTGGCCCTGCTCACTGGGTCCCTAACAGGAGCACTCATGAGGCACAGGTGAGGGCAGAGGGGGCTCACAGGCTGTATCCTGCACACAAATAGATTTGGTTTGGCTTGCACTATGTTTGCAAAAATGTCTTCACTTGTTGCCAATTTTCTTAAATCAAAAGAATCACATAAATCCCAGATTTCTAGGAAAGAAAATTGGATAATCTGACAACACTACACACGATGGGAAATAGCTTTTGGGACCTGGTTAGTGGCTTCCCATTTAGGGAAAGGGGGTGCTGCCCAATTTCTCTTAGCCACACCCAGCCAACTTCTCCCATTTACGAGACCTACCTTATCTTCTGTGCACTGGTGAGCTGCAGCCAGCTTGCACCATCTCACAAGAGCTGATTGTCAAATTTTTAGTCAGTTGTTAAGTACCATCATTATAAAAAATTAAATGATATAAGCCTATAATTAAATCAATTGTCTTCAAAACAAAACTCATAACTTCCTAATTATTTTACTACATTTTCCTATGATCTATGTTCTTGAGACTATTCGTGTCTACTACATCTGTATGGGAGAAGTGCAATACTGTGGTGGACTGCTGTAAATCTCCTCCTACCTCCATGCTCAGTGATGTCACATTGGTAGCACGAACTTGGCCATGGTAAGAATGTGGAAATCAGCAAAAACTGCAAAACAAAGGGCTTGATCTATTGTTTCGTTGATTGTTGAGGCTTAAAATATTAATGGAGGCCAGGTGCGGTGGCTCACTCCTGTAATCCCAGCACTTTGGGAGGACAAGGTGGGCAGATCACCTGAGGTCGGGTGTTCAAGACCAGCCTGACCAACATAGAGAAACCCTGTCTCAGCCGGGCGCGGTGGCTCAAACCTGTAATCCCAGCACTTTGGGAGGCCGAGGCGGGTGGATCACGAGGTCAAGAGATCGAGACCATCCCGGTCAACATGGTGAAACCCCGTCTCTACTAAAAATACAAAACATTAGCTGGGCATGGTGGTGCGAGCCTGTAATCCCAGCTACTCAGGAGGCTGAGGCAGGAGAATTGCCTGAACCCAGGAGGTGGAGGTTGCGGTGAGCCGAGATCGCACCATTGCACTCCAGCCTGGGTAACAAGAGCGAAACTCCGTCTCAAAAAAAAAAAAAAAAAAAGAGAAACCCTGTCTCTGCTAAAAATAGTAGTAGCTGGGTGTGATGGCACACGCCTGCAACCCCAGCTACTCGGGAGGCTGAGGCAGGAGAACTGCTCTAACTCGGAAGGCAGAGCTTGCGGTGAGCCAGGACCGTGCCATTGCACTCCGGTCTGGGCAACAAGAGTGAAACTCCGTCTCAAAAAAAAAAAATTGATGGAGAAATTGTTAATTATGTAGATTAAACTCAATAATGTGTCTTGTATGTAGCCATTACATTGTGAATAGCCCAAAAATTCGAGGAAATATTCTTTCAGTATTCGTAAACTACTATCAGATTCACCAAAGAGGCTGTTCATGTCATTGAATAAGGAAAGAGGCTCAGGACAAAAGTCCTCATTGTTTCCCTTTCATCTTACCCCTTCACTTAAATGAGACTATCAACCAACGTCCATGTCAAAACTACACTTGGCTCTCATTTGTAACCTTAGGTTGGTTACTGGTACAAGTGCTCCTCAAAAATCAATGAAAGCATTTTGAATGAATGGCTACATGGAATTTATAATAAGGATATATACAGTTTTTCCCATTTTACAGGTGAGAAAACTGAATGTCAGAGCTGGGATTTCAATGTAAGTCTGCTGTCTCCGAAGCCCGTGCTCTTTAGGCTCTGCAGCCTCCAAAGGAGAGATGGTGGGGCATGAAAGGCCTGTACATCTCATGCTCTCAGAAGACAAAAAAAGAGAGAGAAAAATTGAACCAAACACGTAGACAAAACCTGCTCCATGGCCTCATTCTCCTCCCCATCAGCAAGATGCTCCTTCAGTCTATCCTAAGTCCCTCTTAGTGTAGTTCTGCCTTCTGGACAGCCCCAGAGCCAGGCCCACCATTCTCTTACCTGAAAGGAGGTAGTTGTCTCTGAGAGCTGGGGGTCCAAATAAACCTGCTGCCTGCTTAGGGGTACTGCAGACCAGGAAATGTGCAGAATGTGGCTGTTTGTCCCCAGGCCTTGGGGGCCCTGCAGGAGGAAAACTCAGAAAAGGCTGGACAAAAGCTGGGAGACACAATGGGCATCCCTCGTGCTGAAAATTCTGCCCACTTGGCACAACAGAAGCCACGAGAATCCCCCCACTGCCAGCACTGAGGACCCGGATGTGGCCATGGCTTGCCAGATTCCTTAAATTTGTTCCATAGGTGTGGACGCCCTGAGGCTCCGCATGGTCACCCATGTGGAAGGGCAAACGAGGCCTGGCTTGGAAACCACCAGGCCCCCAAGAGATCTTGGTGTACACTGGCAGGAGTGAATCAGGAGCTGTGGCTTGTCCCTCCCCGGAGCAGTTCTTCCTCATGAAGTCCTTTTCTCCCATTTTGGTGGAAGGCGCAGGGAAGCTTGGGGATGACAACTAGGAGCACCTTCCAAGAGAGGACCCCCTTCTCCAGAAAGCCTGCCCAGCTGCTCTGGCCTTCCTGACATCTCTCAGCATCCAAGCCTGAATCCAAGGGCCTAGGGCTGTATGGTTTCCTGTGTGACTTTGGGCAACTCCCTCTACATCTCTGGTCCTCATTTGTGTAAGAGAACCAACAAATATTGAATGGCTTTCCAGAGCTAAACACATATAAACTTTACATCCCTTTCCTCATTCATATCCTCCCATCAACGCTATGAGGTTGATATTAGGATCCCTACATGGTAGCAGAGGAAACTGAGGAACAGAGAGGTTAGGTAATTTATCTTGGGTCACACAGCTGGAATTCAAATTCAGATCTGATTGACTTAAACTTGATGACTTCATGTCATAAATTATCCAGTATTTGACACAAGTGTAGCAGGAACAACTCCACCCCCAGCTTTAGGGTATAGGAAATAGGTATTAACTTTTGTATAACTCTGTTCAATCACAGCCAATTTTAGGTTTCCCCTCCTTCTACAACAGGATTTTTCCAAAGTCTCCAAAGGCGGGGTTGAAAGCACTCCGCCTCTATGTCATCTGCCACTGATCTGAATCACTGTGTCATCCACTATTCAGCTAGTCACTGACTCACATGTGGGTGTTTTTTGTTTTTTGTTTTAGAGACAGTGTCTCGCTCTGTCACCCAGGCTGGAGTGCAGTGCCATGATCGCAGTTCACTGCAGCCTTGAACGCCCGGGCTAAAGCCGTCCTCCCGTGAGGATGGGAGTCTCCTGAGTAGCTGGGGCTACAGATCTGTGTCACCATGCCCGGCTTCTGGTGGCTTTTTTTTTCTTTTTTACTACATTCATGCCAGGCTTAGTGTTCCAGGACTCCAGGGGGCCAAGTTCTCATTTGCCCAGCCTCACAACGGGGCCATTCTCCTGCTCGCCCAGGCTGTGGCCCCAAATGCACAGCAGGGTTCTTCTTGCTGGAACTCATGGCACCTACATAGTCATTCCTTTTCCTCTGCCACCAGCCTGGAGGGAGCTTCTTTAGTTTCTGAAGGGAAGCCCACTCCCCTTAAGCCCACCCCACCCAGTTTCATTTACGGTATTTCCTTCAAATATGTGGCCTGTGTTCAGAAACCTCTCCATTCCCCTAAAGCCTGGGTTTCTGGGGAACTAGGCCAGGAAGGAACTTTATTTCTGCAGCATCATCTTCTTAGGCAATGGGCACAGGACAGTGCAGTCCCTAGAAAAGGGGCCAGTGGTGGGCATGAAGTGTGAAAATGCCAGTAAGGAAAACGTGGGTAAGGTCTGCAAAAAATCACATCAAGTTCGGACGCAGTGGCTCACTCCTATAATCCCAGCATTTTGTGGGGCCAAGGTGGGAGGACCACATGAGCTCAGGAATTCAAGGCCAACAAAATGAGACCTCGTCTCTCTGTCTCAAATAATAATAATAATAACTATATCCAAACTTATTGCCATTATTATTTCTTCCAATTTCCTTTTTCTTAGAGCCAGAGATATTAGAGCCTGGCAGGACTTAGCAGTGGCAATAAGAACAGTAATGGCTAACATGTGTTAAGTGCTTGTTACGGCCAGGCACTGTGATAGGCGCTTTACCTATATTATCTATAAATTTTTATTTTTTATTTTTAGACGGAGTCTCACTCTGTCACCCAGGCTGGAGTCCAGTGGCGCGATCTCAGCTCACTGCAATCTCCACCTCCCTGGTTGAAGTGATTCTCCTGCCTTAGCCTCCCGAGTAGCCAGGATTACAGGTGCCCACCAGCAAGCCCAGCTGATTTTTCTATTTTTAGTAGAGGCAGGGTTTCACCAATGTTGGTCAGGCTGATCTTGAACTCCTGACTTCTGGTGATCTGCCCACCTTGGCCTCCCAAAGTGCCGTGATTACAGGTGTGAGCCACCATGCCTGGCCAATATTATTTCATTTTAAATGCTCATAAAAATCCTAAGAGGCAGTTCTTATCATCCTCATTTTACATAAGAGGAAACTGATCCTCAGAGGGCAAAATCATCTTGTAATCACTGAGCCACACCATTCAGATGCACCACAAAGACTCACCAGTATCGCTCAGGCTACCTAGTCACCAGCATCAGGAACCACTCTCCATGAGCACGTCAGATGGGACGGGTGCCTCCCTGGATGAGGATCTCATGAAATATTGGCGTAAACTGGTTTGACCATGCAGGAAAAAAAAAAAAAAAAAAAGTCTTTCCTAGCCATCTTCCTTCCAAGGATCAAAAGATCTGACTGTAGGTCCTTCAGCCAGGTTGGCCCACATGTCAGTGGCTCCCCAGGCCACACTCAGAAGTATTGCCTAGGGTTCCAGGCTGGAGCCACCTCCTGCCTGTCTTCCCTCTTTTCTGGAGGATGCTAGGAAATTGCTGCTCTAATCCAGGGCCCCCTCATCCACCCAGAAGTAAGTGTGGGTACAAGGAAGTGGGTGCCAGGTGGAACAGGTGCCAGTAGTATAGTCCTAGCAGGTGACAGGGCAGGCCTGGGACCAGAAGCTGCAAATTCCTAGTCTATCTACTGCCCGGATGCTCCTGATCTGATATTAGAGGCCCAGGCACTATCACTTCCTGTGTGACTTTGGGCGGCTCACTCTACCTCTCTGGCCCTCATTTGCGTTAACAGAACCAATAAATATTGAATGACTTTCCAGTGATAAACACATAGAAACTTTACATTATACACATACACATGCTGTGATAGAGCTAACCTTCCCCTACTATGAGATTCCTCTTCTCATCCTCTATAGTAATTGGACCTTTTCTTTATAGCTGGGCAATGTCCACCCAGAATAAGGACTTTATTTTTTCCAGCCTTCTTTTCAGCCAGGTGTGGCCATGTGACTACTCCCCGGTCAACCAGGATAAACATTGTATTGGTAAGTGCAACTTCCAGGCAAGGCTCAGCTGGAGAATTGTTTTACTCCTTGTGCCATTGACTGAGGTCACTTGGTGGAGTTCAGCCTGCACACGGGTTGGCTTGGAGAGTCCGTGATGGCTTCACTCATGCCTGGCATGTCAGCCGGACAGCTGGAAGGCTCAGCCAGAACTATGAATTGGAACATCCACATGTGGCCTCTCCAGCTGTCAGGAGAGTTGGACTTCTTAAACGGCAGCCTGGGCTCCCAGAGCAAGCATTCCAGTGAACAAAGTCGATGCTCTATGGCCTGTTACAACTGAACCCCAGAAGATACCTGCCATCACTTCTGCCTACTCTAATAGACCTACCGTTTTAGTCAAAGCGGTCCCAAGTCCACCAGCATTCAATGAGAAGGGACAGGACGCCTAGAAAATTTATACACACACACATTGTGACAGAGACTACTAACCTTCCCCTAATATGAAATTCCTTTTCTTCTGTAGTAATTGAACCTTTTATTTATAGCTCAATGAAGCCGTCTCTCACTGATCGACTGCTTAATGAGAGAAGTGTCAAAGAATTTGCAACCTGCTGGGTGCAGTGGCTCATGCTTATAGTCCTAGCACTTTGGAAGGCCAGGGTGGGAGGATCACTTGAGGCCAGGAAGCCGAGCCAGCCTGGGCAACAGGGAAAGACCCCATCTCTGCCAAAAATAAGAAAATTAGTCATTCAGGGTGGCGCATACCTGTAGTTGCAGCTAAGGTGAGGAGGCGGGAGGATGGCTTGAGCCCAGGAGTTCGAGGCTGCAGTGAGCTGTGATCATGAACTCCAGCCAGGGTGACAGAGTGAGACCCTGTCTCAAAAAAAAGAAACACACACACACACACACACACACGACACCACAGCAATCCTGGACCACTTGGGTCTGGACCTTAAGTCAGAGAAAAAATAAACTTCCATTTTGTTTAAGCCACCACTCTTTTGGTTGTCTGTCACTCACAGCCAAATGCAATCCCAACAGAAACGCATGCGTGCACAGACATGCACTCGCATACACACACACTCCCAATTACAGCACGCAGCCCACAAGACACAGCGAGAGAAGCAAATGGTAAAATCTCACAGGATTAGGAGTATTCATTACTCACATAAACTAATTCAACACACCAGCTTCAGGAGCCGTCCTTCCCCGAGGTTCGCATCTCTGCATTTCCCCTGCCACACCCTCACTGTGGTATATTATAATTAGAATATACTTGTCCATATTGCCCTTGCCCTGGTTAACTCTTCGGCCCCATCCGTCTTGTTCATCATCATTCATTTAGCACCAAGCACAGGACTTCAATCAACATTCAGCCAGGTTTGTGTTTTACAAACAGCCTGCAGGTGACAATTTGAGCTGCTGGGGACTGGCGTCTGAGGGCAGTGAGACTGATGAGGAGTCTGCCTGAACATGAAGAGACCCTGAACTGGAGCCTCAGTACTGGAGACGGGGATGAAATGGAAAGAGAGCCGGAGGCGGGATTGACAGGCACTGGTAACGATTGAGGGGCGAGGGAGAAGTAGGAGTCAAGGACCGCGCCCAGATTTCTAATCTGGACAATGCAATAATAAATGGTGGCACCCTTTACTGAGAGCAGAAACAAGAGGGAAGTGGAAAACTTGGGAGAAGGTAACAAGCTCAGTTCTACCTATCTATATTTCAAACGACCCGGGGGCCATCCAGGTGGATCCATGGAGGAGGCAGCTAGATGGTCGGACAGAACCAAAGACTGGTGAAGTCACGACCACACTTTCCAAAACATTCCCAGGCAAGTCATTCATTGTTCAGCCAGTGTTGGAGAAAGCAGGGTGCAGGGTGGGGTTCTGGGTTGGAAGTTGGCAGACCCACATTCCCGTCACCACTACTACCTGATGCGTCAACTTGGCGGGCAAGGGACACTGCCTTCTGGCTTGTGTTTTCTACTTTGTTGTAAAAATGAGAAGCCTGCCTCAAACCTCTGTGTTTCCTTCTAGTTCTCAGGTGCTATGACTCTTGGCTACATATTTGAAATATTTGCAGGCCTACCCTGTGCAGGCTACTCTGGGCTGGGCCTGACCACATTTCTGCTTCTTTCAAAAAAACAAACCAACAGCAACAACAACAACAAAAAAAGGTCAATTGCAGGAGGA